GGCTGGACTCCGCTTCGTCCACGGTGAAAGCCGATCCAGTGATCCACAGTGCGAAGTTGATGTATTTCCTCAGCAACCAGCACAGATCAGCTCTAGGCATGACGAAGTGGATATCGTCCTCTTTTGGAAGGCCAAACAAAGTAGTTTCGCTTTCACAGCGAAGCACACAGCGCCTTTATGACATGGCGGCGGCAGCAACAATACTACAGCGAGAATAAAAGTTACGCCTTCTTTCTTTGCGTGAACATTTGGGTGGTGTTATGCAAATCTTCCCACATAGTGACGTAGACATGTGGGGGCGTGTTAGAACGAGCCGTTTTAGGTAGGCGTGGTTGACTCTTAACTTTTATAAAGAATATCTCTTTGGATTTGAGACTTTAGTCTTTGCAACTTTACAGATCTTCGTTATGCACCAAGAGCTTGTAACACTTCAAAGAGAAAGGAAAAATTGATATCACATCATATGACCGCTTTAATGCATAGAAAATCATGGTTTATTGCTCTATTTTAGGCTTTGTTTTCACTAAAATTCTCCTTTAAATTTAATAGCTGATTTTATAGCATGTTAAATAGACTATAAAATAACCAGTAAAAGATTGAAAGAAGAGACGTTTCGTAAATGAATCTCATAATGGAATGTGATTTGATGAGGGTCAGGTTTATAGCACAGTTAAAAAGCTAGTTTACATCAGCAGGTTATAAACCTACATATTTGACAATAGTGGATCTCAACTGGTGTGTCACATTGTAACTGTCCATGGTTTGTTTCTTGAAAGATGTATTTATTTTATATTCATAAACGCATATTATTTGAGCTCATTTATTCTATGCATAAAAAGTTATAAAAATGTGATAAAGATGATCTCACACACAGCAGGGGAAAGCAATATTAAATGCAAATGATAATATGCAACTAACTATATAATCTTGCATAGTTCTAATACCAAAATAAATTGCTTTATAAAGGGAGGAGAAGAAGCTTCCTATATTTTTTGTTCCCCAAAATTAGGCAGATGCCAGAAAGATTGTGCGACATGACCTCATCCCTGAAAACTGCAAGGGGGGGGGGGGGGTTCTTACTTTATTTTTAAGGACATTTTAGTTTTCTTTTGTTCAATAAGCAGTTTCAGTACTGTGTTGGTCCACTTGATGTCCAATGTAAATCCAGATCCTGAAGTGTGAAACTATTTGAGAATCACTGATTTATAGCCTTGTCAAAATGGAGCTGATCTGATATTGTTGTAAAACAAGACTTACGTGTTGGTTTTCTCCAGCTGGAAGACTTTCCTCTGTAATTCCTGATTCTGAGCGCTGCAGGCAGCCATTCTAGACCAGAGTATATTGGCCAATTATTCATAGTGATAAAACTGACCTACAAACACTCCCACACACCCTCTGTCTGTCACAGCAGCTGCGTGTGCGCACACACACACACACACACAAACACTCCCTATATAGTGCATGTGGTGCTGGTAGCATTAATTACATTAGACGATAATTCAATAATATTTGTTGGCCCAGTACTTCTCATGAATGGGAGATAAATGAGCTGTAACACTAGATTTCTAATTTGCACAATGACAAACATTTTAGAGGCTTTACTGGATCTCATAAAACATAATATCCAGGTCACATTTCACCCCAAAATCAATAAACAAGGAGAATACATTCTACTAGCTGTAATTTATTTTATACTCATTAACGTAATGTAAATGTATGTAAATTACGTGATTGCGGAGGGGGACCAAGTCAATATGCTGTTCAGGGGGACCACGAACCACAGCGGCACCCCTGCCCACAGGTGTCTGTTAGTGTAAGTTCACACGACTGACTTGTGAATGAAATAAACAGCTAGATGGCTGTGGTGCTTTTAGTGACTGCAGCGCTGGCTGTGAAGTAAGTTTGTCCTTTGGACAGATAATTTCGAACAATTTCGAAATTTGTGCAGCAGTGTGTTCTAAATTATTTCTCCAGCCTCTCGGAGGATATTCGATTCCTTTGATCCTAAGCTAAGATAAGTTTGAGCCTGAATTTTTTATGACTTTCGACCACAATTTCAACTTTACTGCATAGCAAGAATGCATTTATTTAATCAAAAGTACAGTAAAAACAGTAATACCATTTTAAAGAACGTCTCTGTTACTTGTGTAAACCTTGTTCCCTGAAGGAGGGAACGGAGACATTACGTCAGTCGTGACTGATGAATTGGGATCTCGCCCGAGAGCCCAATCACCTTCGAGTGTTAACTAAACAAGCCAATGACAGTTGGCGTGCGAGTTTCGCCACGCGCACCCCGGGGTCTCAGGACAATGTGAGAGTTACACTTTGATCCTAAGCTAAGATAAGTTTGAGCCTGAATTTTTTATGACTTTCGACCACAATTTCAACTTTACTGCATAGCAAGAATGCATTTATTTAATCAAAAATACAGTAAAAACAGTAATACCATTTTAAAGAACGTCTCTGTTACTTGTGTAAACCTTGTTCCCTGAAGGAGGGAACGGAGACATTACGTCAGTCGTGA